ACAAGCAAGGCTGAGTGATACAAGCAATAAACACAGGGGAAAAAAAACATCCACAGCTTTGCCACAGTGTGATTTGATCCCTCTCCAACTGAGAGAGCAGATGAATCTTTCTATATGAAGGACAGGTAAGGACAGGAGACACACATTTCACCAACAGCTTTCAAGACTCTTTAATTACCCCTATCCTTTGTCACGATACCCCAATATTTACAACCATATTGTCACTCCATATGTCTGCTGCAGGCACTAATAGCCCACAGTCATGTCGCAAAACAATTTCTATGTATCACAGCCTGTTGTAAGATGCCATTATCACTGATATTATGGCTCAACAGAGAGTTGTTTACCAATCAGGCCACGGGCACAGAAAGTATCATAAATAATTAAGCTTCTGTTCAGTCGGCACTTTCAAATTCCAGGAAGTATTAACGATTGGTAGATCTGGCAGCCCATAAACGTCAGTAAACACTCCAGGTTGAGGACAGAAGGTCTAATCAGGTTCTGAAGTAATCAACTCAAGGAGCTGATACGGGAGCAACACTCTGGGGAACTCAATCAACTGAAGCGTGACACGGTTTCTTCTTGCTGCACAGCTTTGTTAAGTCACAACGAGAGCATTTTAGTTTCACGGTCACTAAACTTTTATATCGGTGTCGGGGGAGTTGTTTTGTCTTGCTCTTCTCTTGTCTGATTCACAGACCTTGATTAGACCTTGCTGTGGGACCCTGAGGACGAGCACCGATTCTGGTAGTGATATTGATCCCACTGAACCATAAACTGAATCACATCTCGCGCTCTGTCTGGCTTTTTATTGCCAGATTAAAACATAATACATGTCACTTTTTGATTCAGGCTCAGCGGGATGTAATGTCCCTTAACTGTAATCTTATGTAACAAAGAAATTGGTTTTTAATGAGGGAACGCCTGTTGAGGGCTCAAATGAATAGGTTGCTTCAGTTTCTATCACATATCATGAGCATAGCTGTGGCTGGCGGCTTTGCTCATTAGTCTCATCTCATCTACGGCAGCAGCTCCACTCAGTGTGTTTGAGTAGAGACTGGAACAACAGGAACTTCACCTCTCATAAAAATAAGCTTCACTGCACTTTATTGCGGCGCACTGGTCAAACACTGCTGTCACATTACAGCTGCTGCCTCTTACCGACTGTATGGACAGTGTGTTGGTTTCTGAGTCTGATGTCCCTCTGTCCAGCGAGTGTTTGAGAGATGATCTCACAAGGCAGCAATACAGCAGCTTTATTTATTAAGAAGAAAAGCTTCACTGGACCGATTTTAAGCTAGAGGTTAAACTGAAAATAAATGAATCAATGAAATATTTGCGGTACAGCAAATTAAAAAGTCTCTTTGAATAAATGACAATGAAAACGACAATAGTTTTAGGCAAGTTGCTCTATGGATGGCAATGTTGGTTTGTTGACTGAACTATCTCAACTATTGGATAGATTACCACACAATTTTCCACAGATATTCATGGTCCGTGGATGAAGCCTAATAACTGTGATGATGACCTTTCCTCTGGTGCCAACATCAGGTCAAAATACTTTACAGTATCCTGCAAAAAACTAAAGCCATTCCCATCAGCTGTGCTTTGTGTTTAGTGCTGACCATAGACTGTATGTAAGAAGTGGATGTCGTCAACTTGGCGTCATCCGTTGATTTGTGGACTGCAGTTTTGAAATCTTGAGTTCAGCATTTTGGCGATCGCCATCTTGTTTTTTTTGCCATTGGTTGTTGACACGAGAGGGTTGAGCTAAATTCAACTGAACGCTGAATTAGACATTTTTGCAGGACCAAAATGCTACCATTGACTTTCATGAACTGAAAACACACTGTCAAAGTGTGACAGTTGTAAGACGTAAACAGGGACAACTCCCAGTCAACTACCTGTCAATCACAAGTTAACCCCGCCCTAAAGCATACCCTGCTTTATGGTCTATTTGACTTAAATGGGACCATAATTTACTAAATGAACATCGTGCTGTATTGAAGAAGACTTGAAACTAGAGATTGAGACCATAAACTCATGTTTACAATGTTTACTGAGGGAATAAATAAAGTGAGGCAAGCACTTCCACATTGTGTTCACTTTTCAGACTTAGGAGGTTGTCGCCTGGTGCTGACACTAAACACTAATTAGCAAATGTTAGCACGCTAACATGCTATACTAAGATGAATGCAAGTAGCATTTTCACTGCAAGCATGTTAGCATGCTTTTGTTAGCTCTGTGCACAAGTGCAGCCTCACAGAGGCTGTAGACTATTAGTCTTGTTCGAACATAGAACACAGAAAAACTTAATGGAGAAAATGTTCACCTCTATTCATGTCTGTCTAATATGGAAGATCTATGATAAGCTTTTCGATGAAAATATTAGATTTCTTCTACAGAAAGTATTTTTCGAAAAACTAGGCTTTCCATTCCTTACAATAAAGTTGGGGTTATATCCCTTTCAGTTCAGTAAATTAAAAAAATTCAAACAGCTGCTGTCATTAATTTATTGATGCTCGATGAGCGCACTTTAAAAAAAAGAAAACTGGTAAAAATACTTTCTCCAGCTGGTGTTTAGTGTCCATTGCAGACATTTCTTTGACCTGAGTCTCAGCGGAGGAGGTGTCAGTGCCCACATTGACCGATCTGAATCTGGGGTTCTCAGTTGGAGCACCGTAGATCTGTATGCCAACGCACCAGATGTGACATGTATCCACACACACACACACACACACACACACACACACACACACACACACACACACACACACACTCTCAAACTTGACGTGGCAATAATAAGGTTCACATACTCTCTCATGCTGCTGCAGCTCTCCTGACTCTTCCCTTACCCTCACTTACTCATCCTCTCCCAACCCTCCCTGTCGCACTCTCTTATTCTCTGTCGCTCTCTCTGTCTTGTCCTTCCTTGTAATTGGCAGCTCCTCCTGTGAGGTGACCGAAGATGCTCAGGGCTTCTCTGACACATCGCATTGTCCCTCTGTGTTTTCTAAATTAGTGCTTCATAAAATGAGGTGTCGTATACCCCCGGCTGGTAGCTCCCTACGTGATAAGAGAAAGAAGAAAAATGTCATCTTGGTTCTTAAATTGCCTTCTTTTTAAAATACTTTTTTGACAAGTTTGAACGTGACGTTTGAACACAATCTACAACAACAACTGTTGCTGGATACATAAAGAACTATGGGGATGGACAGAGATGCTGGGATGAATTTACATTGGCACACCAGATCTAATTTTTGGACTCACTCTGGTCTTTCTCTTTTACAGTGAGATAGTCTGGCTTAAATCAGATTTGTATCTGTTTAGACGGTGATGTGGAGCTCATCCATTCTTTTTGTCACACAATTTATCAAATAAAGGACCTGTAATATAATCAAATGTAACCCACATGTAGAGATGCATACTACATGTACACCAAAAAAAACAACATGTTTACAATATGTAGTTAAAGCATTAGCCAGTCTAAACACTGTAACAGTTGTAGAGTCAGGACCCCTACAATGGGTCACAAGATGATTAATGGGATGGTAAAAAAAGAAAAGTAAACTTTCAGCACAGTCTGGAAACTTGAGATAAGTAATCCACCGCAGTAACGAACCACCAGGAGGCCCATTGCCATCCCTCCTTATCTAGGTGCTGGTTTTACCTCTGAGCCCAGGACACCTCTGAACTCTCTGTAATAGCCTGTCAGAGATATTGCTGTTGTTTAATGATCTACTGTACTACACTCTAAGCTGTTTTGCTGTGCAACATTTGTTCAGTGTGTTGTAAATTGGACTTTTACACAGCAGGCATTTTGACATGTAATTGATAACATTAATCATATCTGCCTGTTCAAGAGTCTTGTGCATATTGGCCCCTTAATACATGTATATCTTACTCAGACACACAATGGAATGGACACATTACTAAGTTAGTTGCACTGTAATGTTTAACTTTTATTTGCCTATGAAGTCCATTTTAAAGCCAATTTTCAATCTTGGTTTCTTGAATAATGAAATAGTAGCAGTATAGAGAGAACACAGCCACAGAGACTTATTACTCTATAAAGTCAGAGGAAAATATAAAGGTGCAATTTGTAATCTAAATGTGTTGCCCCACCACCAAAACTCAAAGCACAATTAAAGATAATCATGCTTTACAGTGCTACATGGATTAACACCATGAATCCAAAATATATGGAGGCCCTGAACATGCACACAGGTGTTTGCAGTTATGTCTGATTGGCTGATTAGCTCATGTTGGAGCTAGGTGGTATAAATGTCCTGGGATCACCAATCATTAACTTCTAATAATGATAGAGATTATGATTACGAACAGAAACAACAAATCAGTGTTAGAAGAGTGTCAGAGCTGTCAATCAATCACAGTCTGCACATACTCTCACAGTCCTGAGTAGAGGTCTAATCAGGCAGACATAATTGAGAACACTTGTGGAGGTGGACCGTGGCTGCAGGCTACCTGGGTTTTCATATTTTCAGATGCTTTGTTTATATAAAATACTGATTTTCTATGTGTTTTACGTGAATATGTTGTCCAAAAATCCTTACTGGCTCTTAAGAATGTAAAACACCTGACATCTCAAGCCACTTGGGGATATTTAAAGGCCTGGAATGTCAACAAACATGTTAAAGGCTCCTGTTTCACTAGGCATTGCTCTTGTAGTGAATCCCTGTAGCTTTCTTGTGTGTGTGTGTAGGCTAAGGGGAAGGCCATATAAGGCAGAAGATCTGTGTTGAACCTTGAGACTGTGTCCCGTGATAGACACTGGAGTCCAGTGCAACATGTGGTTTTATCGTGAAAGCCTGCCAGCACGAGCCGATAAGACCCCCTTTGTTTTGGAATAGAAAGGAAACAAGTTCAAGTCGTGTCCTGCAGAGCTACAGTATATATGCAGCACGAAGAAGACGTGCGTGTGGTGGGATTGTGTCAAAATGCGCAGCTGGTGTGCGAAGATGCACCGTGAAAGTTGAATTTTTACAACACGACTTTCATTTTCACGGATGACTTGGTGCTCATGGGAGAGCAGGCATGACCCGAGGGAGATTGTTTGTCAGCGCACGCGGAGGAGTGACGTGCTCAGCTCCGGTTTGACTGACGCGTCTTTTGACTGTTGATGTGTCCATGTGGCGTAGCGCGTTAAAGTTCCGGCTGACCTCTCTCTCTCTCTCTCTCTCTCTCCCTCTCTCTCTCTCCCTCCGCTCAGTCGTTTTTATCCTCGCTCCTCATAGCTCGGAGTATCCGTTACCGGATCCCGACCAATCCCCGCGCGCTGTGAGAGCTCGAGAGGAGACGGCAGCGGAGAGCAGACCGGAGAGAGGCAGACATACAGGCTAAAGAGGTGGAGAGGAAGCGGGAGGAGGGCACACACACCCAACTATCTGTCCATCCATCCATCCATCTATCGTCTATCCTCCTAAACCTCCTAACCCGTCTCCCCCTCCTCCTCTCCTCCCCTCGCTCGCCAGGTCCTCCTGACTGCAGCTGTTGGGTTAACCGGAGAGGCGCGAGGCAGGATGCGCGATGGGACAAGCGTGCGGACACGCGCTCCTCTGCCGTAGCCAGCCGCCGTCCTCCGAGATGTAAGTGTGTGTCTCATAACTATGTATGCAGGGAATACTGTGTGTTGCGTTTGTATACCTTGAAGCCTCTCTCGCCACTTCTGCATACAGCGCACAAACTAAACGTGGCGCCTCGCATTGAGCCAATTAGCCTGGTGGTGCTGGTGGTGTGAGTGTGACCTGCTGGGTGTCATTATCCCCCCCCCTCCCCCTGACAGCGGCAGTGAAGACCCCAGGTGCACTGTGCAGGTGGCTCTCAGTATAAACCGGTGTGGAGCTCACCTCCATCACACTGTAATATCACTCAAATGTTCCCATAGTGTGTCCACAGAGAGTTTATTGACCTTATCGTGCCTTTGTATCTTCCATGCAGCCACACGGCTTCTCTTACTCTAATATCCCTTATGGGATAGATAAATCTCATAGCCCTCATAATTGCATTCTCTCGATCGTTATATTCAAACGTTTTTTTTAAAGGGCTGACTTAAGCAAACCACCTTATCCTAAAATACTGTTTGGCAATCCAGCCGCTTTCTAATATATCATCCTTTATAACAGGGTTATAAGCAGTAACTAATAGCTTTGTTGATTAATAAATAATTCACTAATGCTTTATAAATCAATGAATAATAAAAGCTTTTGGGTTGCCAGGTTGTTGAACTTTCTCTTTGATGGATTAGCTTTACCTTCTGGAATAGGGCTGTGTAGAAACTGGACCAAAATGTGTATATTACCAATTTATTATGCATTTAGTAATTGATTACCAATATTTGTGACTTCTTGGTAACGCATAAAAAGGATAAACACCAGCCAGAGAGATGTTTCACAACTTGGTACCCAAACATGTGTTCTCCTTAATGGTTTAAAAGTCATCTCTAAAGCATTAGTAGGTGATTTATTAACCATCAATAATGCTATCTATATAAGATGTAGATATACTTGAGAATAAATGCCCTGTAAGTGTAGTTTTCTCCTTTGAACCCCCCAAAATGCATCATCGCAGAGCTTAAACCAGACTGTTTTTCAGTGTGAATGTTCATTCTTTACCCCGAGGCTATTTTCCTTGTTCATGAAAAGTTTACATTTTAGAGATTAAGAAGCCTTTTCCACAGGACAGCAAATATGTGAATCAAAGGAGGCTGACACGATCAATATTAATACAATAAAGCAGCCCAGCTTTGCATCCTATCTTTGTGAAGCTTGTAGTGTTTACTATGAACATCTCAGAGAGGTGTTTATGGAACTTTGTGGTGATTATTAGTTGTGTTGTTGTTCAGTCTCTGTGTGTGTGTTTGTGCACCTGTCTGGGAGAAAAAAAATGTCAGCTGGTGTTCAGCTAAATGTTAGCTAATAAAGCAAACCCCTCCTGATGCCATGTAAACCCGCGATGCCTGTTCTCCAATGAAGAGTTGCATCTGTTGCTGCAGAGTCAAGTGATGGTGATCAAACGCGCGGCTGTTCAAACAGCATGCACCTATATACTGTATGTATGGTGAGAGCTTCCCTCGGGGCATGCATGTCTTGATGCCGACGTGTTTCTCTTAAATGCTCCAAGTCGCCTCTCCCTCTTTCATAGCTGAATAGCCTCATGTGCGGTTAATAACATTGTGATGCCATTATACGCTGATTGCACAAAACATTAGTGACATCTCCCTCATATCAAGTTTCAACCCCTTTTTGTCTCAAAGCTGAAAATCCTCATCTAATGTTCTCCTCCTTCATTACTGGTTTAAATTCAATAAGGGAAATAACTGAAGCATAATGGCTTATATTCACCTCAGCAGCTCTTGTCCTCAAAGACTAAGCTTCTTACATTGGGCATTTGTTGTCAGTCTCTAGGAGAACATTGGAGGGATAATGAATCTGCCAGGTGGATGTCAACGATCTTTGACGGACAGTGAGTTTCAGGAGCTGGTCTCAACTGCTGGAGTCGCTTTGACTCGCAGCCTCGGCATCTGTGATCAGTTAAGCTCATGAAGTGTGAGATGCTGTCGTGAAATACACAAGAGCAGATGTCAACCGTGTACCTGCTTATGATCCCTCCTCTGATGGAGCATTGTGATTAAAACAAATCCAACATGGCCTTTTGTGTTCCCATCACAGTGATGGTGTTCTTGGATGACTGGATTGAGGCTTTGAGAGACAGTTGTTCATCAGAAATATTGACCAGACGCTACAGTTTCAGTAATCACGCCCATGTTTTTCGGTCTAAGCTTAGACCTCCATTCACCCTTGGTGTGTAATGTTTTAACCTTTGTGTTGCTGTTTGTGTGTTCAATGCACATTGTTCATCATTTCAGCAGCCAACAGGCATCGCCCTTGTAGTCTGTATTTGGGTGTGTGTATTTGTTTGCCAGCTGGGTGTGCATGTGGACCGTCTTCAGCCTGAAAAAAAATATTGCAATTTACTGGATTGATGCCAGGAAGTCATATCCCTCAGCCTCCTGAAGAACACACACACACACACACACACACACACACACACACACACACACACACAGAATTGCACAAAAGTACACAGCAGCAGCAGAGTTGTAACCTGATTCCTGATGAGTGAATGTGTGTGTGTGTGTGTGTGTGTGTGTGTGTGTGGGTGTGTGTGTGTGTGTGTGTGTGTGTGTGTGTGTGTGTGTGTGTGTGAGAAAGAGAGAGAGAGAAAGGATGCTGACATTGCACTGTGTTATCATCAGTAATGGGCTCATCAATACTAAAATATTCAGACAGAGAGAGAGGGCAGAGGGAGATGAAGTGAAAGCAGTGAGAAACCATTGTGAGTTGCTTGTGTTTATGTGTGTTTGTCTACAGAATATGTTTGCTTCAACAAAACATTCTGCTTAAAAGCATTAAATTCACAGATTAATCTGCATTTTCATTCACTGTCGCTGAGTGCAGAATGTCGCTTTGGAGCAGTAGATAATAGATGCTATTTAATATATTTATATACAACATCACTAATTGTTTTCCACTCCTATAAACATGTAGAAAATAATTTAAATGGAGGCGCTGTGCACATCCATGGCAAAAACTCTTTCCCTCCAGCTGAAGAGCAAGTTTAGCATGTAATTACTTTTGAAATACTCAACTGAAACAATATTTGGTTGAGTTCATTTTCTGCATGAATATAATGAAGCTTGGATGTTGTGAACGCTCTTCCAGCTGAATCATCAGTACGTAAGATGAGCTACTGTAAAAACAAAATCTGTATTTATAATGAAAAGTCAAAAGTCTGAGAGAAGAGCGAAGTCATCAAACATTCAATCACCAAGCTTAAAATCCTGGTCCCAACACCACCAATGGCAGGTTTATGATGGAGATTGAGCTTTTTAATCAGTTTACTTTGGGATTCTGGGTTTTGGGTCCTAAGTGAATTCAATAACTGGTGAAGTGTTTAGTTCTTGATTGCAGAGAGGAAGCATTCTGACTTTTCTACGGCTCTGATTTGTCCCTCCGGCTATACCGAAGTGAGGGAATAAACTTTATACCAGAAACAAAGCTGAAAAGCATTCTAACCACATACCCTAACAGAATCCTAGTATCATGACATTATCCAGGAGCCTCTGCTGGATTTCATTAGTGTTGAGGTTATCATTAAAGGAAAGCATAAACACACCATTCATTCATCCATTTCCCATACCCGCTTATCCAGTGCAGGGTTGAACCCGATCCACGCTCACAATAGGGGAGAGACCAGGTACACCCTGGACAAGTGTCTAGTGTATCTCAGGGCTCATAAATATAGAGAACAGGCGGCAACCTCTGGGTTTGAAACGTGAAACCAATGTGGAAGTAGCTTAAACTGGCATTCTTTCTAATGGCCAGCAGGGGGCGACTCCTCTGGTTGGTATAGAAGTCTATGAGAAAATGACCCTACTTCTCACTGGATTTATTACCCCAGTAAAGTTTATGGTCTCAATCCCTGGTCTCAAGTCATCTTCAACACAGCACGATGTTCATTTAGTAAGTGATGGTCCAGTTTAAAGTAAAATAGACAGTAAAGCAGGGTGTGCTTTAGGCCGTGGCTACCTTGTGATTGACAGGTTGCTACCACGGCGGTGTCCAGTTTCCACAAACCAATGAGTGACATCTCGGTGACTACGTCAGCTTCTTATATACAGTCCACGATGGAGAATCATATTCACTCTTGCATTCACACCTATGGCGAATTTAAAGTCTTCAGTACATAAGAATAACATGACTTTGGACTGTGGGATGAAACCAGATTACGCACACACACACACACATGCACTTTTTGATTTAACTGTGAAAGTAAAGTGCAATATCTTACTTTCAGAAATTAAAGCAATAGGAAACTTTTATTTATACATTTGTATTTGATACACTTGTGATATACAGTGCAATGCCGCTTAAAGAGCAGCAATTAGAATTCAAAATAAGTGCAGACACCAGGATGGTGGGAAGGTCTCTCTTGTATTCAAGTGAATACAAACATGTCCACATTGCTCACTGTGGTATGGGAACTTGGGCTACATTACTGCACTAAATTGATTAAACTCAATGCACTCAATAATTGCCGTAACAAGGCTCGTATTTTGCTCTGTGTGTATTTAAGCCAGAAGGACAGAGATGGATGCATTTGTCTAGCGGTGCCAACAAGCTGTTTTGACATTAATGTTGAACAGAGTGTAATCTATGGAATGAGATGTAGAACAACTGTCCCGATCACTAACCGAGTGGAAATCTATTTTGTCATTAACTTTGGCTCAATGTTCTTTGGTTCTCCTCGATTTGTCTCGTAATCTACCAGAGATTTCTTGTAGCCAATGTAGATCAAAGTGGTTGTCCAGTGCCTCCAGTACATTTGATCCAAATTGATGTACCATAACAATAGCTATTTGTTTAATTATTATACATCAAATGGGAGCTCTGCATACCCCTGGCTGATACTGTCTCCCCTAATTGAGATGTAAATGGAGCCAATATGGAGTCGAGTTTGAGCCGATGAGAAGACTTTGTTCTGTGCAGAGGTAACAAGTATTTATGTTTCACATGTTATCAACACT